CGATGTAATGTATTCCAATTGTGTGGTTAGATGATTGTCGTATAAATCTAAGATTTGGATTTAATTCTTAGCTCACATTATATTCATCTCAAATTTAATAGTACCTTCTGTTAAAGCAACAGCATCCTGTTAGTGTATTCGTTCTTTTTTTTTTTTTTTTTTTTTGCAGTAGGTGGAAGCATCGAAAGCCGCCGTGTGAGACTTGAACCCACTAAACCACCTCTTAGGAATGGATGTGGAAGATTGCAGCCGCGTTCAGCGAGTGCAACCCCCATTCCAGTGAACGAAAGTAGAAGGAGAGCAGAAGGGCTTAGTATTTAACAAGCTAAATTTATCAAAGCCGAAAATAGACTAATAACTTAAGAAGGATGGAAATATCGATGAAGGAGATGGGTTTACGCAAGATTGCGAGGGGGGTCTAATTATGTATATACTCTACAATCAGGATCAAAAAAACCACGATTGTAAAGCGGAATAAGTGGAGCTCGGATGAGCTCTTCCTCAAGATAGTGCGCAAGGAATTGTGGAGGCTTATACCTCATAATCGAATAAGTTGCTTATAACAAAGTACTTTTACTTTGCTATTAAGCTGGTTATGTCTACGGAGTGCATTTTTGAGGGATTTATGCCTGAAGGTGGCATTTTGGATGGCATAACTCACATGGGAGACGAAGTTATGCTTAGGAGTGAATACAACTCCCAGGTACTTTAGCTTGTCAACAAGCTGAATGGGGGTGCCATTGATTCTAAGTTTAAGGTTAGAGATCTTAAAGGACGCAACTCGATCAGCACGTTGGCCAATAAGTGGTATTGCAGAAATTTTTGAGTGATTGAGCTTAATCTTCCACTTACCGTAGTAAGCAGAGAGGGTGCTAAGGTGGCTATTAAGCTCAGTGGAGATTCTACGAGGAAGAGTGGACTTCATATAAATGAGGCAATCATCTGCATAACAGATTTGCTTAATGCATGGGGGAGGAGTGGGAAGATCTGATGTGTAAATATTAAAGAGAATGGGGCCAAGTACTGAACCCTGAGGAACACCGGCAGCGATGGAGTGTTCACTAGAAAGAGATGAGCCAATTCTAACAATGAAGGACCTATTTGTAAGAAACTGATAGATAACGCTACAGAGTTGGTTTGGGGCTCCAAGAGCAAGAAGTTTGTGTACCAGACCCTCGGTCCACACTGTGTCAAATGCCTTTTCGATATCTAGGCTGATGGCTACAGTGGATTGTTTGTTAGCAAACCCAACACAAACGTCATTCTGAAGATGGTGCAACGCATCCACAGTCGATGTCTTATTTCGAAAACCGAACTGAAAGTTCGGGAGAACACGGTTTTCAGAAACGAAAAACTTCAGTTTGCCTTGTATGAACGTTTCGTACAATTTGCTTACTGAGTTTAAAAGGGATATGGGTCTGTAGGAGTTGGGATCAGATTTAGGCTTCCCACTTTTATGGATGGGACGCACGATTGCCTTTTTCCATGGCTGTGGAAAATAGCCAAGATTGTACGCATGATTGAAGATCATGGCACAAGAATTAAAGAAAATAGGAGACAAACGGCGCAGAGTATGATAGGATATCTTATCGATACCCGAAGACTTTTTGGGAGTTTTGAGAGAGAGTATCTCCCAAAGGACCGAAGGAGTTATGAAACCGCTAGGGTTGCTATTGTCGGTGCAGAGGGCAGAGCATTGAAGAGAGAAATTTACAATGGTGCCGCTATAGGCATTGAAGAGGCTATGGATGTGGTTATTGGTGGCTGAAACAAAGTCAGGGTCACCGTCATCCAAAGTAAGTTGGTGATTATTGGCGAAGACTTCTCCAAATATATTAGATTTGGATGAGTCCTCGGAGTAGATGGCGCCTGAGTAGTGCAGGTCTGGGATACTTTTATTGGAACCACAAATTTGCCTGATCGTATTGAAAACGTCAGATCTGCATGTGGTAGTGCGAAGTTTAGCTTGTAAGCTAATAGATCTGGCTCTATTAATTCTCTGAGATATAATAGAGTCTAGGTTTTTCAGAATAGCTCGAAATTGAGCAGCAAAGGTAGAGCCAGCCGCCCTAAGACGGTAGACTTTACGACGAAGGGATTTCCTGTGCCTAATGAGGTCCAGAGTGCAACTGTCAAGAGGTACCTGATAGCTTCGAAGAAGTCTAGTTTTGGGAACATGAGCCTCGACTGTACTGGAAATGACAGACTCTAGTTCAGAGACCAAAATGTCAAGTTCAGAGCAGGACACATTCCTATGTTCTGGGATATTAATATTAAGTAGATATTGGTCCAGAGTGTTATTAAACTCTAGCCAATCAGTGGCCGCAAAATTATAGATGGTACGAGGAGCGAGAGTAGAAGCTCTGCACCCAGAAAGAGGAAGGTACACCGCTTGATGGTCAGAAATGCCGTCTATGACGGAAGGTTCTCCAAGGAAATTGTGGAGCCTGTTATCTATCAGAAAGAAATCGAGAACAGAGTTAAGGCGTGTTGGAACAGAGGGGGCGAGAACCCTAATGTCGTGACTCAATGAATTATCACTGAGCCATTCATATAAGACAGTACCATTAAAACAGGTACTTTCATTAAACCAAAGGGTGTGCTTACTGTTAAAGTCACCACCGATGATTACCCGGTTTTGGGTGAGGGTTAGAAGAGTGTCTAAGTCAGATGGCTCAATTCGCGAAGAAATAGAGGGAGTATAGTAAATACAAAACAAGTCGAGGAAAAAGCAATTGACTTCAATGGTAATCCCTACAGCTTCCATGGAGGCTAGAGGAGGTATGGAAATACGAGAGAAGCTAAGGGAATCTCTAATAAGAATAGCGACTCCCCCACCTCTGCCGGCTCTATCATAGCGAATAAATTTATATCCGCTGAAACTAACTACATTTTCAAGGTTAAGGTGGGTTTCAGTGATAAGCGCAATATCAGGCCTATTCTGTCTAATAAAGTCTTGAAAGATTCTGCGCTTGAGGTTGGAGTATAATGAGTTGACGTTTAAGAGAACGATACGAAGACCGCTCATCTTAACGCGAACTCAAAGGCTTTATGGATGAGGAAAACCCTACGATCTTCTTCGGAGGCAAGGCTGGAATAATGCTGGAATAATGTATTCGTTCTTTCATCGTTTGATTTCTTTTATATACTTATCTTTATATATCATCATTTTAGAGAATAGTTCATTTAATTATTTTCCGTATAGAATATGGACAATATTTTAATATCATCACTTTAGAGAATAGTTCATTTTATTATTTTCTATATACAATCTTTATTAACAATTTATTTTATTTTATTTACTTTTTTTGAATAAAAAAATTTACACATAACAATAAGTAATCTTTAACTAAACGATATTTAATAAGTGACTAAAAATTGTTTTTATGATTTAAAACTATGTCGTTGTTGTCATGGTTGGTTGGTTGGTTGCAGTGGCAGGTCATAAGATAACTTCAAATGTACCTCAATTAGCGATTTTTCGCCGTTTTGTTACCACATTCCTCGCAAGAACCCTAGTATAGAAGAGTAGAGACTAAATCCATCCCACTGAATTTAGGTAATTTAATAGGTCTTTCTTCTTCACCATTGAGCAGTCTAATAAACTATCACAAAAGTATTTTCCTAAGAACCTATACGTTGTTGTCATAACACGGACTATTTCAGTAAACCCGTCTTCCCTTCATAGCTATTACTGTCATCCATCTATCTATCTACATGGAGATATTACCAAATCATGTTGATAAACCAAGGCTTATCATTTTCTTTCCTTTTAAACGATTAATCAATATTTGGTATATATAAAGCAAATATTTATCTACTCATCATTTTTCGATCACTTCTTCGTTAGATTATATATATATATGTATACCTTATTTCAAATAACATAATTTAGTATCTTAGCTTTAATATTCGCTTTATTAATATTTTATGTCATTTGTTTTTACTCTAACACATTTAAAAATTATTATAAATTAATGCAATTTCAGATAATTATATTAAATTATTATTTATTGTTTTTCATTTGAATGCAAATGTAACCCTACATTCCACATTACGATTTCATAAAACATTAATATGTAGTCGAACCATATCGAAAGGCAGAATAGTAACAGAATAATTTAATAGTAAATAAAATATACTTGTTATAAGCTTGAAAAACAAGGTTCGTCTTTGAGAAACTATAATAAAGCTTACACACTGTAAACTGTAGTGACCACACCTTTAATTAATGCAAATATATACCTAAATATCTAAATAATCGTTATATAAAGGTTAGAATAAGTATCTTTAAGAATAGTTATATTGATATGATGCACAACTAAAATAATATTTTAGCTTTAGATCTAACTGCCCTCTCCGTTTCTTTCACGCTTCTATATCCGAAAACCGAGACACATGAAACTTTACCGTTTTTTTATTTCCTTTCACGATATTATGTTCGGGGACCCAGATACATAGAGCTTCTTTTCTTACTATAGATATAACAACAACTTGCTATATTATAACTAGTATATAAATGTTGGTAAAAAGACAAAAGTCAACATATAATTACACACAAAAATACTGAGCATTGTTAATAATATCTATAACTCATATATATGTAGCTAGATATATAGATGAATCTGCGAGAGTCTCCACGTACGTCGCCTTAGGGTTCTAGGGTTTCCATTAAGTATTTATTACTATAGGGTTCATTGCGTTTCTATTACTATATGCTCGCATATGTAAGCATTATCTCTTATGTTTAAGACATCTTGTATCTAACCAAGGTTACTTACCAAAACTAAAGTATAGTAGGTTATGCCCTGGCATTACAGTAAAGGTAAAACTATAATTATTGATAGCACTGAGTTAACTTTGTTTACAAAATGAAATTGCAATTTTAAACTTTAAATATTTTGAGAAATAATAATGCAAAACTCACCGTAGGACAACCGAGGGAAATTAATTAAATAAAATGAAATGTTCGAAAAGTTGACAGTACATCGAGAGACGCCATGTTTATAGTAACATTGCAATTGAAATCCAGTCATGGCTTCTGTGTTGTGATGTTGTTGTTGTTGCTTACAGTGCCAAGTGTTCGAAATTTGTCAATTATGCAAAATGTTAATAGCACAACCGCCCACACCGCTGCAGCGATACGCGATATTGTACTGGAGTATTATGTGCGACATTCTCAGGACTTTATGTTAACTGTGCACATGAAGTCACGTCATGCGCTGAACTTAGCCAGTGATTTATTAAGTCAATTGTTGCCACATTTGTCTGCGATTAAAGTACAAATTGAAACAATCAATACCACGATAAGGAGTACCTATAATCGCAAACATAATTTAATATTAATCGATGACGTTGAAGCTTTAAGGTAATTTAGCCAAGTCCACAGATACGAATAGCATAAATGTATGACAAAAATTAAATAATTAATTGCATTTACAGAGAACTAAACCCTGCTAAGTGGACAAAGGATTATGATTTTGTGGAGTTGTATTTACTGTATATATTACAGAATAAGAGCTTAACGGTGCGCAATAACAATCTGATTGACGTCTTTAATTACTTCTGGCACAATTCCATAACGCATGTTAGTTTATTAATGAGAAGTCAGAAAAATTTAATAAATCTGTATACATTTTTTCCGTATAAGAACGTATACAGTTGTAGGAGTGTTTCAGTAAAAATTCTGAATAAATACAATGGTACTTGGATTAACGACTTACATAAAGTTCAAAACATATTTCCTGCCAAACTATTGAATTTGAATAATTGCACGCTGAGAATAGCTTTATGGCACACCCCACCTTATTTGAGTTACTTTCCTAACAAGACTGGTATGGAGAGAATTGATCATTTTGAAGGAGAACTGATAAAAGTAATAGCAAAAAAATTGAACTTTTCATTAGAATTTGTTGTACCACCAAATGATGAACGACGCGGCTTAATATTTGACAATGGCACTACTACAGGAGCTATAAAATTGGTAATTAACCAACCATTATTAAATATTTAAAGAAGTATTTATAATATTTTTATCTTTTAGTTAAAAACACATGTAGCTGACATCAGTCTTGGCTGCTTTCGTCTCACATTGGAGCGTGCCAAAATACTCACGCCTGCTCTGCCATATCATCAGACAACTCAGGTGTACAGTATACTGTTGTCTAATAGAGCATACACTTCACTCGAAATTCTCAGTTTCCCTTTTGATGAACTCACTTGGTCTTGTATTTGCCTTATTTTACTTGTAATGTTTTTTACAACTACTTTCATACAATACTCCTTTCATAAATATAAATCTCGCAGAACTATGTTGGGGAATATAAAAACCAATTCAAAATTTATCGACATATTTGCTACGTCTATGTTGGAGAATATAAAAACTAATTCAAAATTTATCGACATATTTGCGGTATTTATCGGAAGCAGCATAAAGAAAGCACCAAGAGCAAATTTCGCACGATGTCTATTTTTTTTCTGGTGTATTTATGGCCTTACATTGCGTACAGCATACCAAAGTTTGCTCTATAAATTATTGGAAACAGATCTATATCGAAGCCCACCAAGATGTATAATAGATTTATTAGCTGATAAATACAAATTGGTAATGTTAAAAACCACATTTGACTCTGTTAAGAAAGAAACATATATTGAGAAAGGATTAATCGATGTTATAATCCAACACAGTACAGATGATCTGAACCCTTTTAACTACCTAGTATTGGAACGTAATATACCCTTAGCTGCTGTCTCGCCGTTGGATTTTCTTGCTCTCTACGAGTCAATTCATAGAAAACATGAAACATTTTACGTTCTACCAGAAATAATTTTTTCTCAGCAAATAACTATGTATTTCAAGAAACACTCCTATCTAACAGATCGTTTTGATAAAATTTTACTACAATTAAGAAGTCAGGGCCTTATAAATTACTGGGCTCAAAAAAGTTTTCTTCAAACTATGTTCCGTAAACATAAAAATGCCATAGTTAAGCCAATTAATTTATCACATGTATCGGGTATATTTCTGCTTTTTCTATTTTTAATGGGTGTGGCAATACTAGTGTTCTGCTTGGAAATAATTTATATTAAATACTATGTGAAAAAAAAAATATATATAAAACGAAAATAAAATTTTTTTAACAATTTAAAATTTTAATACAATCCTACTTGCATATTACAAAGTATAGCATATAACCAAGGAATATCAATTCTTAGTTCATTTGAGTCATCTTACCTAGATTAGATGGTAAATAATTGTTCACATTGTGGGAATAAATGGAACTCCTAACAGGACTGTGACTCTGTTATGCATGCTGTTAATTTATTTAACTTTATTTTTTTCTTTTAATCACACTGTCAATTGATGGACTATCTAATAATTGCTGTTGGATTTCTTTCACTTCGGCTGCATCCAGAAAAGTCTTAATTTTTTACGGATTGTTGTTCAAGCACTCAGATTTCTGGATTAATTCTTTATAGAAAATTATTTTCCTATATTGTATAAGAGCAGGACATTCTATATTTTTCATTTGTGAGATTGTTGCTCGTAAGCAAAATTGAAAAACTTTTAAAAAGATTATATATTTATATATAGGTTGTTGAAATTATATAAATATTTAAGAAACTACCACATAAATTTGTAGCTGTCATTTTTATTTAAAAATTAGATATATCATTGATCATCCTTTATAAAAAATTTTTATTCACCCTGGTGCGATTTAATCACTTTGACATAATTGATAATTACATATATAAACTTTGATGTACATATAGTTAACATATTAAAGTGTTAAAAACAATATATCATATCATAATCTATATATATGATATTTAATTGCTTATTACCGTAAATTGGTCATGACGTGGTTGGGTGAAAGCTCCATAATTAAGTTCCAATATAAAATGTCTGTTTGAGTCGGTAATGCATCAGTAATTGTGGCAATAAAAATTGTTAATAGTATATAAAGAAAATCAAAGTATATATAATTATTTATAATGCATTGTAAAATCCTCATTACATAAAAAGTCACAAATATAATTTCAACTCATAAACTTTAGCACGGACATGTGTCATGCAAATTAGGAAACGTAAGAAAATAGTACGGGTCACAAATTCGTGTATAATGCAGGTTACGGAGAAATTGGTAAAAGTGTTCATCTTTAGTCGTAATAGGTGATTCGACTCCAGCAGTTGTAAGTACGGAGCTATGACGCTTAATTGCTATCATGCATTTCCACATCAATTATTGGGTACGTTGTAAAATAATTGCTCTGTCGCTGCTACTAGGGTTTCCCTTAATACAGAATTTGAAAATACTAGACAGTAAAAAAACGCGAGTATCTACAAGTACAATTAGTGCATTACAGTCAATAATTAAAGAGCAATTTGCACCAAATACAAATGAAGTGATACTGGCAGCACATGTGAAAGATATAAAACTTAAGGGTCTAGTAAATGATCTTCTAACTGTCTTATTGAAAGACTTGCCAAATATAAAAATAAAAATAGAAAATAATCTTACGAGAAGAGAAATAAAATCTACAATAAAATATAGTTTAATAATTGTTGATGGTCTGGAAGCCTTAAAGTGAGTTCCCAAATTAAATTTCAAAGACGTATATTAATACTAATACGTATAACAATTTAATTGATTAACTCGTTGCAGTGAATTGCATCCTTTTGCCTTAGCTAAAAATAACGATTTGATGGAAGTGTACCTAGTGTACTTAGTACAAATAGAACGATATACAAATGCCACTATTGAAATAACAAATATTTTGGATTACTTTTGGCATGGTTACACCACAGATGTTAGTCTTTTGTACGAAGTTGCAAAACATCAAATGGTACTCTATACATACTATCCTTTCTTTGATGAACAGCATTGCAAACAAATTGTGGTGAAAAATATAAATAGTTTCAATGTAACTTGGAAGCATTCACTGGCAACAAATTCTTATCCAGCAAAACTACATAACTTAAATAATTGCTCACTTGTTGTAGCCATTTGGGATACTCCTCCATACCTAACATATCGTCCACAAAAAAATGGTTTTGATAGAGTGACTGATTTTGAAGGCATTCTACTAATTGAGTTTGCCAAAAAATTAAATTTTTCACTGGATTATATTGTGCCACCAAATGATGAACAGCGTGGTAAACGTTTTTCCAATGGTTCAACAAATGGAGCTATAAAATTGGTAATTTTAATTAATTTAAGTAAGTTATTTAGTTTTTAACACGATCGATTTTAAAACCAATATGAATAAATAGTAGCGATAGAAAATTTGTGAAACACCCTGAGTCACACTCAATCAACCAAGAAACTGTATCAAGTAAGATAATAGCCGCTTTTAATGTGATATTATGCCCCTAAAAAAAATTAGTTACAAATTGATTCGTAATATGCAAGAACCTATTGGTTTGAAGGATATTAAACCCTTCACAAAATCGAAGCCAACTTTTACTTTCTTTTAAATTCTGAATAATTTTAAAAATACTTGTTAAGTTAGGTTAGATCATACCGGTGATCCCTATGAGCTACCTCATTGTATTACCATACATATACTCAAATGCTGTTTACTATCATGTCTTGTAATTGATCAAATTCCTTAATTCCTCATAAAATGCTGAGTCGCCGCCTTGCAAGAGGTGGGCAAAGACAGAGTAGATGAGAGGAACTTTCATTGTCTTTCCCACAGCTGCGGCAGGTATGTTTGACAGGGAGATTCAAACTTCTAGCATGGTTTCCTAGTTTGTAGTGACCTTTAAGAAAACATACTATACGGCTGATACCTCTACGGGGCATTTCAATGAGAATATTGGATTTCCAATAGATGTTTACATATCGTTGAGTCCTCCCATCTTCTATTAAAAAACTCAACACAGAAAGAGCTTAGTAAGAATACTTAGCGTTACGAATGCTCGTTAAAAGTTTTCGTATATGATTTGAATCTTATTTAATAAAATGCAGTTAAAATAATTTCAATTATAAATTTTTATCTCTTAACAAAAGTAAGATAACAATATTCAATATTTATATTACTTCATACATTTTCGCCCGAATAATATATCTGCACAAGTCAATTAATAAAGAAATGTAAAACAAGTATAACAAAAAGCGATCGGTTAAAACGATCCATGAGAACCGAACCAAACCAAACCAATTCATTCTAAAACTGACAAAATCGAACCAATTCAAGGTATTCTCTAACTAAACTTTAATTAACAGATTATTTAATTAAGAGATTAATAATTATTTTTTTATAAATACTCAACATATTCAAATAAATAGAATTAAACTAGTTTTTTCATTTTTTAGTTAAAGGAAAGAAAAGCCGATATGAGTTTGGGTTCATTTCGCTATACTTTGGAACGCTGTGAAGAACTCACTGGGGCTTTACCATATTATCAATCTTGGACAGTTTATGCAGTTCTTTTGATGCAACCCTATTCTTCTTTAGAAATACTTGGGTTCGCTTTTGATACTAAAACTTGGTTATGTTTATTCATCAGCTTATGTTTTACACTAATCTTAACTTACATACTCCATCGTTATATAAAAAAATCATGGTTAGCGAGGATAATACTAGGCATACCGCAACCACAAACACCTTTAACAAATTTAGTAAGTGTTTTTTTAGGTGTACCGATTACACCTATGCCAAGCAGCACATATACAAGGTTTGTTATCATCCATTGGTTCATATATGGTTTACTAATACGCACAGCATATCAGAGTTTACTGTTTCAACTGTTGCAAACTGATATGTATCAAGAACCACCAAAAACATTATCAGATTTAATATCAAGGCATTATACATTGATTATAACTACAACAGCTTTTGATCAAGTGAAAAGAGTTCCCCACATAGATGAAACAGACATTATATTTAACAATAGCACATTTGAACCGGACACATTTGCCATTGTGGCCGAAAACAACAACAAGCGCTTAGCAGGCGTCTCTCCAATGGACTTTTTAAAGTTTTATGTTGTCAAAAACAATAAACGTGGCATTTTCTTTGTTTTACCTGAAAAAATTTTTACCCAACATATTACTATGTACTTCACAAAGCACACATATTTAATCGATCGCTTTAATTATATATTTATGCAATTGAGAAGTCAGGGACTCATAGATTACTGGGCTTCAAAAAGTATTGAAAAAATCAAATGGCCTAGTAAGAAAGTAGACAGTGCAAGTGCTATTTCGTGGGAGCAAATTAATGGAATTTTTATTATTTATACAGCTCTCTTGATAATTTCTTTTACTGCTTTTTTAGTTGAAATAATATATTATAGATATAAACAGAAATAAAACGAACTTATAATTAAAAAGAAATATGTAATAAATTGTAGTTTTTTATATATACACCGAAAAATATATCTTATATCCTATAAACTATTTTAAAATATGTTGTTTCACGAATAAATAAAAATATTTGAAGAAAACATTTTTGTTTTGTTACCTTTATCTCTTTAAGCAACCATATTTCCATAATATGTAGGTATATATGCAGTCTTAACAGTTATTGCAAGTATATTTTCCTTAATGCTCTTAAAGCTAAGCTCTTCAAACCTGAAGTTTTTATAATGCTAGTACATATTTACATCTAATACAAAAAATTAATTAAAATTATTTGTCTTAATTTTGAAATTAAGTGCTATCCATTAAACAAATCTGTTAATGTGCAACAATCAAGCTGGACTTTATTGGACTTCGAAGTTCAAGACTTAGGCTTAAACTTCAAAACAGTTTACATATAATTATAATCTTAAGGTTTGATAGTCCTTTAATTAAATTTACTTTATTTGTCATAACTGATTTAGTTCTAAAGTGTTTATATGCAGATTTAAATATGGATTTAGGTTACCAAATTCCTTGAATTTGTGAACGTTAATTGCGTTGTTCATCAATTTACTCTTGTATCACAGAAAAGTATTATTTTTATCTGAAAAACTTTTGTTACAAACTTATTCTATGAGTTAAAATTACGCCAAAATTAACTTCCTTACATCCTTATAAAACATTTTCTTTCCAGTGTGGTATATAATATTAAATAATAAACTTTTTACTGTATTAATTAATACCCACATTAACCTAAGTAAATTTTTATTCAGATAATTTTTAATATAATGACACACTCATTAGGAATAAAAGCGTAAATATACTATTACACATTATAAGTGTTAATTACGAAATAAATATATTTCTAATATAAATACCACAATAGAGCATCCATGCAATAATACTAAAGCAATAAAAACAGCCTCCAACTCCTGTAAGGCTAACACATTTGCTGTTCTTTCGATTACAAAGTTTTTTGCATTTTCTTTAGAGGCACTGGTTTTTGGGCTACCTAATATACGATCGTATTGCACAATCTCACGAATCCATTTGTCCATAAATCCATACGTTTGTGCTGTTAGGATCTGCATATTGATTTCAAACAATAAATGTGAATTTTTTCGTACAAAATAAACTAATTGCTTGGTTAAAATTCGCTGTTTAACCAAGTGTAACCTATGATTTATTAAATTCATCTTACGTATATATCCATAATATTCATATGCTGTAACGAGAGCTTTTGGTTCCTGTGAATAGCCCATTGCAATCAGTATATTCTTTTCCGTTTCATTTAAGAATACTTGTTGCTTTGGTGTTGGTAAATTTCGAAAAACCGCATTCGTACTTGGTATTGTTTGCAAAACGTAATCTCCGGAGAGAGCATCAGCTATTGTCTTTGGTGGATTATGAAACGTTTTATCTCTTAACATTTGGTACATTCTGGCTTGATAAATGCTGCGTAATACAAGAGTGGCTAGCAACCAAATAATAAGCAAAAACCGTGCAAAGTTTCGACGTGGTACAGCTGCCACACTACTCGACCCCATTGCAATAACAAATAGATTATAATGAGGCACAGTGTTCCTGTGGCCCATAACTACTTCACGCCACTTTGCGTTTAGATTACCGTAAATGAAAATAAATATACTAGCAAGAATATAACAGGTTCCAATTAGTAACCACGCGGATGTTTGAAAAGCAAACAACAATTTTTCAATGCTTGAATCAAAGCTTGGAAGATTGGTGACCACAAAAAAATGGCTTAAAAAGAAATTAAATGATTGAGAGAATGTTGCGTTTCTCCACAAATCTGCTTTATAGTGCAAACCACCAAACACGTATTCTGGATACTGAAGAAGCATCTTAAAATATTATATGTATACTACACGTGTATAAATCATTTATTTACTATTTTCAACACACTTACTTCAGCATATTGTGCACCATCCAAGACTTTATTAAAGTTAACCTCTTGGACTTCTATAGAAAAATTTAAGTTTCTGCTCATGAAGTTGAATAACTGTCCTTCAATTCCCTTGTAAGCAACAATATTTTTATTGACATCACGCTCAAATGCCGAATAAGGCATATCTTCCTGAGTAGCCCACATCCATTTACAGCCATAAAAATTTTTTAATTTCTCTGGAAAGTAATTCTCATGTTCCCACTCTAATTTATGCTCATCATAACGATTGATTATCACTGACTTAGTGATATGACAACCAGCAATACCATATGGAAAATATGTTAACATAGTAAAATTATTCTTTGATAACTCTAAGACAATGATCACATTTAGTATACTCAACTTCCACAGCAATCTGAAAGCTTCTTCGATATCGGCATGTTCGGTATCGTTTATTGTAGATATGTATACCACAACCGAGGCGAGAGTTCGAGAATTAATATCAAACGCATAAAGAAACCTGTGTTAATCAAAAATCAAATATAAGTTAACTAAATTTTGTAAGTATTTTAGTAGATATATTATACACTTACCTAAAGGATTTTAATGTATCTACAAGTATCAAATCATAATGGTCAAAATTTCTGGGAACCACAGTTTTGCCTAAATTCACCAAAAACACTGTACCTTTCAATTCTCTCATAAGCCTTGAGGCAATATCATCTAACACATATTGATTTTCTTTAGTTTCATACTGCAAATATACTTGCAACTTGCCGTTTTCATCACACAACTTTTGTATAAATATCGACTTTAATGCATTTACGTGCATTTCATTAAGAAATGCAGTTGGCAAAATGGCAGCATTATATCTCACAGGATACAGTAAAGCACAAAGAGCCACAAGTGATTTAAAAATATTGTAATTTAACATCTCGTGTAGTAGCTAAGACGTTATAATTGGAAATAAAATTAAACATTAACATTTCTAAACAAATAATAAATTAATTTCTTTTTAATTTAATTTAATCATATATTCAATCACATTATAAATATGTAATTATATTCTCAAAAGCATTTCATAATCTATTCCAATCTATCGGAAATACTTGAAGAATTATTTCCTGAGTTTTTTGGGCGAATCCTTTTTGTGAATGCCATATTAGACTTAATTAGATAAATGGTTTGATTATATAAAGTCACCATAAAATATTTATAAACATTTAATTATACTAAAGTATATTTAGTTTTTTCCTTAATATAGAAAGCTTTGAGTGTGGGAGAAATCGTCGGTACGACGTTGTAATGGCAATGGTTATGTGACATCATTGTGACGCCTAACTTTCAGATACGTCATAAATAAAAAATTTAGTTATTTGTTATGCTTTCTTTAGAGCACAACTATAATAATAATAAAATTATATTATAAATTATATTGGCAACATATTCTTACAATACACTAAACATCGTTATTGGATCAATTAGTCCAACACAGCACAAGAAAAATAGTTTTCTTTATTATCTTTGATATCTTCGGACTCCATTGATAACACTGCAAATGCAATGTAATGACATTTCCGATTGGGAAATCCGAATTCAATGTGGATCCATAAAATTTTATTGCCTAATTGAACATATTAGAATAATCTAATATCTTTTAAGTAGAATATGAATGTTAGTAGACATTCATAATTTTTATAAATACATATATTGTAACAAATCACACTTAATCTGTCAAATCGTATAAAACATGTCGTATAACACCTCACTAAGAACACGCTTGATTGTAGAATCAAGTCACTTAAATGATGAAAGTACTTAAATGATGGCAGACAGCCTAGACTTTGGAGTCAATTGCACAACATAAATTGCCTGCATCTTAGCAAGTATTGATAACATAATCATAACAAGTGTAGATTGTTAGATGGTTGGTATATCCTGTTTAGTATTTTCCGAATATAAGTTATACCATAATAAATTTATGCTATGATATATTATCTGTAAAATCAAAAACATTGCTAATAATTTCTGTTTAGCATAGTTTTAAGACGGAAATTAAGAGATAAAAAATTGGCTTTTCTCAGATATTTATTTAAGTCAACTTTGGTACTTCAACTTATAAAATTTTTAAGGAATTATTTGATTATAGCTTTATATACATTTCCTACAATCTATTCCTTATATTCTTTCAAAAATCTTCAGAATCTATTAATTCATATTAGTTCAAAAAGTAGTGATTCTTACCGAATTGCTATTAATAGATTCAAAAACACAGTTAAGATAGGTGCGTCAAAGAATTTTAACAAAGTTGCTACAAGAATTAGTTCGACTTTAAATAGAGAATATATAGCATGAATGTAATATAAAATCTGCAACAGATTTGGGCCAAGTTAAATATTTCTAAACGCAGACAAAAACTATTTTCTATTTTTATTTTTTGATACAACTTTTTGAAGTCATCCTCCCACAGCTGCATTCTTCTACAGTTGCAGTCTTCATGTCAAACGACAATTTAGCAAGCATATCGTGTCAAAATAAAAATATCCACTGTCTATGTAATAATATTTCAGGTCTAGTTTATGACACAATTACTGTTGTGTAAGTACTAATTTATAGCCGTTTAAAATGCATGCATAATTTAATGAAAAAAATATGTTTTTTTAATCGCTTGCATTTAAAAATATAAACAAACTGAAATTAAAGCAATATATCTATTTATTATAATGCTGACAAGCAAATTATCCTATTTGGTATAATATATACTAAATAATATAAAGACTACAACAAATAGCTTTTAAATAACATTTAAATTAATTTTGTTAATATTAATTATTGTTCATATATATGGTATGAACTGGGTATTCTCTGTGTCTCCTCTCTAATTATTGAAGCTTTTACACAAAAAATAACTCTTGTTATAAATTAATTATTTACTTTTAAGCTGCTACATTTTCTCACTCATATATTTAAGTTAATTGTCGATGTACGATTCAATTGACTCGGAGATCAATTGCATACGCGCAATAGGATATTGTCCAGCAATTTTCATCCATTCACCGATTTTTTTCGACATGAATAGACAAAAAATTTTGAATGCAAAGTTACCTTTGATTAGAAATTGAATTCCATATTAACAGATGAATAGAAAAACAGACGATTAGCAATAAATCAATTTATCTTGTCTTACAGATGAGGAACTCCCATATTAAAAAATCAATTTTTTAAATATCAGCTGAATTGCACATATATTAGTATAATCTTTATTTATCATTAATTTCTTTAATAATTAAATGAATAAATATTACTGATTTATAACTTAAAATCTATTCTATTTATAACATTAAATATTGAAATAATCTAGAATGCTTTTAAAAAATGTCGATCTTCTAGAACAAAGTTCAAGCAAAAACACAAATACGCATAATAACAATAAAATTAGATATAAACTGAATATTCCAAAAAGCAACCAAACGGAAAGTGCTTTTGGCATGTGAGACATCTTTTGTAACCAATATTTCTTATCCATATAAATGTCTTCAAATTTTCGCATGAAACCAGAAGACATTAAACCCATAAGAAATGAATTAATTTTATATAAGAAAAAAGAATGCTTTCGCAAATACATAGTAACTGGTACCATGAACAGTTTCTCAGGTAAGACATTCAATGGATGATTGTAGTTACTTTTGTTTTGGTTATAATATAATATGTAAGGTGCCATAACAGGAAAAGCTATAGTCTCAGTTTCGGACTGAATTCTACCATAACAACAATCTTTTAGTCGATCGTAACTATCTACAACACTTATTTTAATCGATTTAATAGATTCTTTCATCATTCCCACTATAGGTTTAGGAGTATAGACAGTAAAGTTTTTTTCAACCAATTCATCAATGGTGTGAAGTGATGTACGTGTCCGTCCATCTTGTAAAATCGAAAATAGTTCACTTAAATATGCATTTCGTAATACAAGTGTGTATAATATCCAAACTGTTAGTAGGTACCGAGCGAAATTTCTTCTTGGTAGCCTATGTAGACCAATACCATATAATGAACTCCATAGATTTGTAAATGGTAAACGATTTCTCTGCCCTAAAATAAAACGAAACACTTCGATTTTGCAAAACAGTTTAACACCAAATATTATAAATATTGCAAATAGTACACTGAATCCTAAACAGATCCATATGATATTTCCGAAAGGTTTTACAAGTCGTTCATAAGGTGACATTTGTCGTCCCTTAGGAATTACTAACATAAATGAGAAACTCATGTAGGAATATGCAGCTTGCATGACATCTGCGCGCATTTTATTATACATGAAACTAGCCATTGTTAAATTTGTGGTACCCTCAGCTATCTAAATAAATTAAAAAATTAAATAACTTTAATTGAAAAACTATTGAGATTACTTCATATACCATTTTCATTGCTCCAGTAATGGTACCATTTGATGTGACGATGCCATGATCTCTCTCGGGTTGTTCAAGTATACGAATCGTGAAATTCAATTTCTTTGAGAGTATTGTCAGTATCATTCCTTCAATACCATGTAGGCGATCTAATTTTTTAGTTCTATTGTTATAGTTTAGAATAATGAACGGAGGAAGATTGAAAGTTGTCACCACCATCTCACAGCCATGCATATTACTTAGTTTATCTGGGAACAACAATTTATTTAATGTATAGCTGCCATTTGTAATGAGGCCATCAAAAGTAAGATACAACTGTGGTATATTTGAGTTACATTTATTGGGCTTAAAAGGAAAATATGTGTATACTTCTACTGTTTGTTTAGTAAGAATCAATACATTTATGTTAATGACGTATATGTAGAAAAGTCTGCGAAAAATCCGTCTGATATTTACTAAGGCATTTATCTCACTCCCAGTGTATATAATTGTGAAGAAACCGTTGCGTTGGAAATTGTTGTAAGTCCTTACCAATGTATTTTCCAATTTTCTAAAGAAGAATTTGTATATATACCTATATTTTTTCTTCAAATATATTATACTTACATAAATGATTCTAAACTATCAATTAACCAGATTCCTTTATCTTTATTTTGAAAAGTATTCACAAAAATATCATCTTTCGTTAATAAAGACTTTGATTCAGTTCCTGTTACGTTATCATCGATCTCATAAGTATTTCCATCACCTATGAAAAACTTTATATTCATACCATTTTCATGCTGATTAGTTCGTTTCAATATTTCTTCAATCAGATCATTGTGATAATAATAACTTTTATCATTTGAAGCAAGTTGGCCAATTGATAAAGAACTTGTTGTTGCATTTGCATAGACATCTACAATAATCCAAACAGTTGATAAGATCAATGATAGGTTACCCGTTGGATATATATTTTCAACTATATCTCCTAATGCGGTCATTTGGAACTAATATAAAACTCAGGTATGTCTTTTTAGTTTAAATGTCGAAGTGATACTAGACCTAAACTTTGTCATATCGTTTATTTGTCATGCAATATTTAAAATATTTTAAAACTATTATAAACAATTTTGTGTTTAAACTGTAACATGCCCTTTTAATTTCATTTAAGGTAATAATAGTTGTTGTTGCATTAAAAAGGCAAATTAAAAAATATTACTTTAGTTTATTCGCAAATTCTTTTGACCAGAATTTTTCATAGGCTAAGCAAACTACCAATATTTTAATATATGACACAACTCATATAAGAATCCGTAGAGATATAAGAACATAATCTGTTAAAGATTTAAATGCTCTTTTAAAAAAATATAATCAACTACATCTTGCATAGCTTGTGCAGGCTCAAGAATTTGATCTGAGCATAGATGTCATATGCTCAGAAGCGATTTTCGGCGTCAGATCTGCAGAATTCTTTTCATTGGATCAATGACCTGCAGAATTAACAAAAGAGGATGATCCAAAATCGATATATATAAGGTGATGAAGCACTTTGTGGAAGAAACCTGATAGTTAGTTAAAGAAATCAGGTCATGCTATCATAAATCAATAGATATTCAACTAATTTTGGAACTAGTTTCTTTTTACGTATTCAGTTTAACATTATCATACTTTACGTTATCTGAGTAAGTCTGAATTGTTTAAGTAAAGCTTGTTTTATAAGAATATAATATTTATGCTCAATTAAGAAATTAAATATGCTTGAAAAAAGAAACCAAAAATATTTTATTTAATAGAATATATTAAATATATTAAATTTTTAATTAATTCATCTTTTCAAATATTTGTCTTTTTTCTAAAATAAATTTAATATAGTAATTAACAACTCTGTCTTGTCGTTTAGAGTCACGGGATATATTTCAGTACATCCATTATCCTAATAGCTATCATTAACTAAATGGAACTGCTGAGATCACATCTATAAAACCAAAAAAAACGAGAATATAAATTCGCTTCAAATAATCTAACATTTTTAAAATTGCATGTCAATTTTGCATCAACTCTGTTATATACAAGGATAGTATAGTTTCAACATTTGTACCGAAAAGACGTATATTAGAATCTGCGGCACATATTACCGATATACATTATGACCGTGCTGGAAAATATGATTGAAAATACAAATCCCACGGGTAACCTATCATTGGTCTTATCAACCGTTTGGATTATTGTAAATAGTTATGCAAAGTCCACAACTAGTTCCATATCATTTGGCCAATTTGCCTCAAATGATAAAAGTTATTTTTATCACAACGATCTGATTGAAGAAATATTGAAACGTGCCAATCAACATGAAAATGGCATGAGTATAAAATTCTTCATAGGCGATGGAAATGTTTATGAGATCAATGACGATGGAAATGAAACTGAATCAAACCATTTACTAACTGAAGAAGAACTTTTCATGTATAATTTTCGAAATAAAGACAAAGGAATCTGGTTAATTGATAGTTTGAAGGCCTTCAAGTAAGTAAATGAGTTTTTAAGAAATATGAGATTAATCGTCTTTTCCAGCCAGTTGGAAGATACTTTGCAAAGGACACACAACTATTTTCAACGCAACGGTTTATTTACAATTATTTACACTGGCAGTGAATTAGAGCGATACCGTAATATTAGAAAAATGTTTCGTCGATTATTTTATATATACGTCACAAATATAAATATATTGATTCTCACTAAGAAGACAGTGGAGGTGTACACATATTTTCCATTCAATTCAAAAGTTTGCCATTCCTCCGTTCCTGAGTTATATGTTACTTTTGAAGGAATTCTTGAAAGAGAGAACTTCAGACTACCAAAAAAATATTTTCCAGATAAACTTTTAAACATGCATGGTTGCCAGTTAGTAGTTACTACTTGGCACGATCCACCTTTCGTTTTTATCGATTATTTTAACAAAAGCGGTAATATTCTACGTATACATGGAATCGAAGGAAACCTACTTACATTTATTGCAGAAAAATTAAATTTTACAATTCGCATACTTGAGCCACCAGAAAGAGATCACGGTGTCGTAACAGAGAATGGTACAGTGACTGGTGCTATGAAGATGGTATGTGAGCAGTGTTAGTTTTTTCGATAATAAGTAAATTTATCGTGTTTGTAGATAGTGGATGGTACCTCAAATATAACTATGGCTAGCTTTTTGTACAATAAAATGCGCGCAGATGCTATGCAGGCAGCATATTCTTACATAAGTTGTTCTTTAATGTTAACAATACCTAAAGGACATCAATTGTCACCTTTTAAACGTCTAACAAAACCATTTAGTTACATTATATGGATTGGCCTAAGTATAAGTTTACTATTAGCTATTCTTTTAATTTTTATACTTAAATATTGCGGTAATTTTAATATATATAATTTTATTTTCGGAGAAACAAACCGCATACCATTCACAAATCTATGGAGCACATTATATGGTATAAGTATACATAATAGGTTGCCAAAAAAAAATTTTGCTCGCTATACATTGGCGATTTGGCTTATTTATACGCTTGTGTTACGCAATGCATACCTAAGCGAATTATACAGTATTTTACAAGATGGACGTACACTTACTTCACTTGACACTATACAAGAAGTAGTAGAACAAAATTATACTTTTTATACAACCCAGCCATTAGTCACAATGTTAAAAGCATCAATTAAATCGGTTAAGTTAAAACTTGCTGACTCATTTGACGATTTATCAAGGAATGTACATAATCACTTATTCCTAAAGGATGAGAGTTTAGTGGTGCCTCTAATGGCCCCTTACATACTTGCTTATAACCAAAATAAGAGTAACCATGCTCATCCTCTAAATGTGCTACATGAAAAACTAACCATGGTCCCAATAACATTGTATATGAGAAAACATTCATATTTGCTGTATAAATTTAATGAAATCATCACTTTTTTGATGTCTTCTGGTTTCATAAGAAAGTTCGAAGATGTTTACTTGGATACCAAATATTTGGTTAAGAAGGAGTTCCACATGCCAATAGCACTTTCGTTTTGGTTACTTTTTGGATTATTCACTATTTATATTTTTCTATTGCTGCTATGTACATTTGTTTTTTTCTTAGAACTTTGGTCAACAAGATCACCTATAGTTAAAGCTGTGCTCGATTTATTTAATAGTTAAAAAATCTAATAGATATAATATTAAATATAGTAATATTAAATATAAAATAAATGAAGTCCTTAAATGTTTTATGCATTAATAATTTAATGTAATTTTGGTATTTGTCATAGTATAATACATTATTAATATATAAAAACAATCAACTGAAGTCAGTTATTTATAATACAATCATAAGATATTGGTAATCTATTTTTTTTTTAAACAAGGATTATATGTTTTTCAAAATACAATATAATTTCAGTAAATATCTAAAAATGATTTTGAGTAGGAATTAACTAATTTTAGCTGTCAATTGTCGTTGCTTTCAATGCAAAATGAAAATTTTTGACAGCGAAAATTACAAACAAAACTCTCGTGTGAATCCAGTATTACCTGAATCAATTTGTTCAAAAATTACTGTGATTTTTGGATTTTTGGATAATTGTACAACATTTCAACCAGAAATCCATTTTTCTGATCAGTTAATAAACAAAAGAAACTTAGTCTAACTTCAATCAGACATTCAATCGTGAAACATTTTTATTGGATGAACCTAATCTTTCCACTTCCATACTAATTGACGAATAAATGAGTAAGACATAGAAAAAATGAGGCGAATGAATTGCTAGAAGAAAAGAAGTTTGGCATTGCGGTTAAAACGATTGTGTCTTTAAAGCCCATACTTAAAATTAATATGGTCTAACAAGCAATTATAAAAAGCATATTGGACATAAGAAGTCAAGTTAAGTTCAACTTAAAGATATTTGAGGTTGGATATCTACGAAATAAGCAAATGCAACAACAAAAACGAAAAATAAATATAATGTCCTAATAGCTGTAGTACAATAACAACAAGTAGAAAAATCAATATAAATTATTATCTCTTTATATATTATTATAAATTAATACCAAAAATAAAGTTGTCTCAGCTTTTTCGAAATATAAATTTCCTTCAAAATAGTTAAATATAATTTATTTATTTGTTTTTTATTTATTTACTTAGTAATAAAACTATATTACCCTTTACAATATTCAACTCATTTTCCAACCCGAACACACCACCATCTTGACCAACAGGATCAAAGTCATGGACTAAAGTACATATGCAAATAACGGACCCATTTAAAATTCGTAATGCTAAAATAGATAGACTCAGATAAGATTATGGTGGACAACAGCGCTCCACCCAACTCCACTCGAACTTATCTACCAAAAAAATTGCAAGTATAACATAATCGAAACGAGGAAAAATATAGTAGCAACAACATACAAAAATATTTTCATCAAATGGGTTATGAAAGTAAAGAAGACAATCTTACCACAGAACCATTAACACATTATGCAAATAAAATCGAATGGCTTTATATGGCAAACAATTCTTCTTCCAAACCAAGGCAAGGAATTTTGCTTAAAGTATAAGTAGCGGTGGAGACATATTTAAAATCCTACTTGATAAGAGATGTAATAAAAACTATATACAACCTTATATTGAATATAGACCCTGAATCATATGCGAACCTTCTTTATGCAAATTCAGTTATTAATCGAAAGTACGAGTTCACACGTTTTCTATTCGGCCTCAAAAACAGACTATCTATCTTTCAAAGAGCAGCAGATCATATTTTTTTGGTATACACAGAAACATCGAAGTGTTGCGATGTAAGAAAGTTTTTTCTTGCTTGAACACAAGACTAAGTTCATAACTATCTATAAGATTTGAACAATCGCAATATAATACAGTTAAACAATTTTATCCATTCACTGAGTTTGTTCGCCGGGATTAGTTCAAAAGTCACGTAGTCATGCAGTTTGAGCATTAACAGGCAGGTCGATATCTTCAAATACATTCGTCTTGTCAAATCGATTAAGAATATTCATACTGCTATCGCCTTCCCGTTAAACTATATTTAGACTCTTCAAATATAATATATCCTCTGTTTATCGTATTTTCTTATTTAAACAAAACATTTAAGTTAACTCATTCAAATCATTACATTTATTTTAATTATTCCATTAAGCATTAAAGAAATCTAGAATGCTTTTTAAAAATGTCGATCTTCTAGAACAAAGTTCCAGAAAAAACACAAATACGCATAATAACAATAAAATTAGATATAAACTGAATATTCCAAAAAGCAACCAAACGGAAAGTGCTTGTGCTATATGAGACTCCTTCTGTAATAAACGGTTTTTATCCAGATAAGTATCCTCAAATTTTCGTATGAAACCAGAAGACATTATATCCATTAGAATTTCATTGATTTTATGTAGCAAAAAGGAATACTTTGGCAAATACATTGTTAGTGGTACAGTTAATAGTTTTTCCGGTAAGAAATAATAAGGATCATGACTTTTGTTTTGGTTATAATAAAATAAAATGTATTCATAAGTAGGAATCGCTATAGTTTCAGCTTCGTCACGTGTTCGGGAAACCATAATATATTTCATTTTCGTGTAATTTTCTACTGTCTGTATATTAGTTGATTTAGTAGATTCCTTCATCATATCTTCTATTGTGTAGTGAACATAGAATGTATAATTTTTTTCAATCAATTCATCAACGGTTTGAAGTGATGTACGTGTCCGTCCATCTTGTAAAATCGAAAATAGTTCACTTAAATATGCATTTCGTAATACAAGTGTGTATAATATCCAAACTGTTAGCAGGTACCGAGCGAAATTTCTTCTTGGTAGCCTATGAAGACCAACACCATATAATGAACTCCATAGATTTGTAAATGGTAAACGATTTTTCTGCCCGAAAATAAAATTAAGTACTTCGATTTTGCAAAACAGTTTCACACCAAATATTATAAATATAGCAAATAGTACACTAAATCCTAAACAGATCCATATGATATTTCCGAAAGGTTTTACAAGTCGTTCATAAGGTGACATTTGTCGTCCCTTAGGTATTATTACGTACACTGAACTACTCAAGTAGGGAAATGTTGCTTGCATGATACTTGAGTGCATTTTATTATACATGTAACCACCAATTGCTATATTTGAGGTACCTTCAATTATCTGCATAAATTAAAAAATAAAATGTACTCATAATGAAAAAGCATTAAGAATTTTTTACATACCATTTTCATTGCTTCTGTGATGTTACCACTTAATGGAACGTGGTCAATATCTGTTATAGATTTTGGAAGTGCACAAAATGTAAAATTCAATTTCTGTGAAATTAATGTCAATATCATTCCTTCAATACCATCAAGCCGATCTAATTTTTGAGGTGGTTTATAATTTTTATCAATAATAATTAATGGGTTGAAAACGTTAGCTGTCACCACCATATCACACCCATACATGTTGCTAAGTTTATCTGGAAAAAACGGTTTTGAAAATGTGAAGTTTTTATTTTCAACGTTTCCGTTGAAGGTAAGATACAACTCCGGAATAATAGAATTACACATATTCGGCTTAAAAGGGAAATATGTGTATACCTCTACTGTCTGGTTAGTAAGAACCAATATATTTATATTAATGACGTATATATAGAAAAGTCTGTGAAAAATTTGTCTCATGTTTTCTAAAACATTCGATTTATTGCCAGTGTATATAATTGTGAAGAAACCGAGGCGTTGGAAATAGTTGTGTGTTCTTAGCAAAGTATCTTCTAATTGACTGAAATAAACCATTAATATAAAGTTTCCTAATAATTATTTTCTTTAATAATATTTACTTACGTAAAGGATTTTAAACTATCAATTAACCAAATTCCTTTATCTTTGTTTCGAAAATTTTTCATAAAAAGTTCGTCTTCAGTTGCGTTTTCATAAATAGTTGAATTAATCTCATAAATATTTCCATCACCTACGAAAAATTCTATATTCATATCATTTTCATGTTTAGTAATCCGTTTCAATATCTCTTCAATTAAATCGTTATGGTAAAAATTACTCTTGTCAGTAGATGCAAACTGACCAATTGTTAAGGTAGTTGTTGTGGACTCTGCATAGTTATTTAAAATAACCCAAACAGTTGATAAGATCAATGATAGGTTGCCCGTTGGGTTTATATTCCCAGTTATATCTTCTACTCCGTTCATGCTGTTGGACTTATCTAATTTCTACAATTTGACGTCTTCTTACTTTAAGTGTCGATGATATACTAGATTTGAAAATTAAATATATTTAAAATTCTTCTATTATAAATAATTTCATGTTTAAACTATATATGATTTATTAGT